AATTGAGCAGGATTTAATTAACCGAATACCAGAAGCTGCTCATATTGTGAGCTCATACTGCTGCCAAAAGTGCAAAAATGGTTGGAGTTAAACGGGCAGAACCTCGAACTTTCCTTATGACTTAACAACTTGATGTAATATTGTTTGATCGATATTGATCCTTGATACATTTCTCGTACTATGCAGTAAAAAGTGTTTTTTTTGTAACAAAATAAAATATTTTCACTTCCGAAATAAGCAGTTAATGGAAAGTGATACTTTTGGGAAGGTTTTGTGACAAAAACGTTGAGCTAAAATATAAAAAGAAACCTTAGTATTTTTTAATACTTTTTATACCTTATACTTGATACAGCAAATTGAAAATTTTTTAGAAACCAATTATAGAGGAAAAGATTCGGATCAAACTGAATACATATCAAGTGCGTATAATTTTTGGGTAAACTAAATATAAGCGTTATTCCCATCGTTACTCGGAACCGTTAATTTAGACAAATTTGAAAGCTAATTATAGTTGGACCCCGTGCCTATCCGATTTCCATTCCGAAAGTAAATATTTTATATCTCAACCTTTTCATCATTTCAACGGTTTATTGCAAAACATTTTTAGACCTATTGTTTTAGTTGCAGAAAGCTAGTTATTAATGTTAATGAGACGAATGAATACAGTCTGAGTCATGAATGAGATGTGTTAGTACCCCTTAAATTCAAGAATCAGCCCTCCACCTCTGTCGAGTCAAAATCTTTTTAAAAAATCCCGTTAATGGGTCAGAAGACCGAGAAATAGGGGTTACAAAAAGTAAGGCCCAGATGCGCACAGCGTGATATAGTGTTCAGGTTCTTTGTATTGTTGCCACACCCATTCTTAGTGTCAATGTTTTATATGGTTCAGTTGTTGGTTTGCTCGGAGTGTTTTTGTCTGCCTATTAAAACACTTAAGCAATTTCTGCTTTTATTTCAAGCCCGGTTGTGAAGTTAAGACGGTTTTTTTTCAAACACAATAAAACAAGCAGTTCAAAAATAAGCATGCACAACAATCATTAACTTTAGAATCACAAACTTTGTCTCCGGATGCCATCATCAATTACTTGATTTAAATGACCACCTATATAACTTTTTATTGCTTGCTTTTGCTTGTTGAATGTAGTGGAAATAACTTACATTAGAAGAATTTCGAAAATAAATATTCACAAAAAGTTTGCAGTTTGAAGTCATAAAATCATCATTGCTATCATTATGCTCAAATAAATCAATGCATTAACAAGCCAATAAGCACAATTCCAATTCTCTAACATTCATTATGTAGATAGACCGGATTAGTACCGTCTTCACCGTTCAGTAGCCGCGATGGAATAAAATTAATGGTCTGATGATGCAACCATAAGTTAACCATTATCAATCTGGGACTATTGGTCACTCAACCAACATCTTGCTCTGTTTTCGTCTCATACATATTACATTCGAATATTAATAGACAACGAAATATATATACAGGGTGGTCCTCAACTCATGCGATAAACATTACTGACAGAGTTCAGACAGAAATATTGCGTTAATAGTTTCCGAGAAACAGGCTGACAAATTGTAAACAAAATGTTTATTTTTAAAATATGTTTAACCAGTGTTCCTAAGACCATAAAAGTCTGTACTAATACAGACCCTAAAGAGAAATGTATCTTTCAGAACAACAAATTCAAATTTTCTATTATCAAGGTTGTGGATCCTAGAGGGCGCTAGCTGCACTGGTCTGGAGCCACTTAAAGCCTCAGGAATTTTCGGGGTTTTAAAATATCTCTATTTTTTCCAGAATCTCGTTGTACGATATTTCCTAAACAAAAAATGTGTACTCGTTCCAAGTTGACATATCTCACCGTTTTCGACATATTTCACATTGATTGTGTTGTGTTTTTACTTTGAAACTGAGTTAACTTCTCTCTCGCCTCACTCCTTCCTGCAAAAGGACACCTAATGAACAAGAAATCTGCACAAAAGATTGAGAGTTTCGGACTTCATTGAATTCGTGCGAGCTCCATATCTGTTGCTAAATTCGTTGAAAATCAGCGGTTGTTAAAACTTAATCTAACGGTTTCTTTATATTTCCTGCCAGTATAGCTAATAACGGAACGATGCATTGGTCCAATCAAATAAATTTTAAGCGGTATTCTTGACAGAACATTTGGAACATCAAACGTAACCGAAAGTTATGTTATCCACGTCAATCCTATTTACAGACGAAATACCATAATGCGCGTGGTCTATCGATATATAGCGAACTAAACGTACATATACTTAATCTAAAACTAAAACCGTTGCACGCCATCAACGTCAAACTTCCCCTGTTGCCAAGTTGTCATGAAAATCTTTTGTTTTTGATAAGGGATTTTTGATAATTGGTTTTAGATCAATAATAATCGCTCAAAACAGTACAAAAATTGCATCTTCCAACGTACTAAATATAGCTACCATGATTTTATTTATTTCAAAGAAATGTAAGGTATTGGTTAAGTATAGGTAAGAAAATAAAATGTTGCTTTATATTTATTAATCACGCAAAAACATTGATCACCATTGAAGACTTTAAAAGACTCAAAGCTAACAAATATGATTGAGATATGAGAAAAATAAGCAAACTAGCAATATATAGGCAAAAATACTCAACAACAACCTACAACTAACAACAAACTAACCAAACCAAAGATTTTTCGATAAATCAAACGTCAATCTGACAACACAGTAATTCGCTACCAACTTATAAGGTTAAAAATTTCTTCAAACCGAATCAAACAGTAAAGATTCGTTTATTGACGGACTATCTCTCTTTAATGTACTTTGCTATTTAAAGCGAACGTGATCGTGACGTTTAACGATATACAGGGTTGCTCATTAGTGCGTCAAAGTGCGATATCTCAGTAAATATGAACTTTACAAGCAAATACGTCCTACGAAAGTTTTTCATGTTTAAAAGGTCCACATTTTAAAATTACTTTCCA